GTGTGCATATTTCAACCACAAAGGAAAACGCATGCTGTATCTTGTGAGCTGTGCTTCCTGCAGTGTCACACCTCCATGTTTCTTTGTTTCAGGTTATGCTGCAAAATCTGAAAGGGAAATTCCTGTGTGGAGGTGTTCTCATCCATCCCTCCTGGGTCCTAACAGCTGCACACTGCGTTGAGATGGGAGAGACTCTCAAAGTAAGACTTGGTATGGAAAAAATCCAGCCCTTTCTTTTTAAGCACTTCTCTGAAAATTCCCAGCTTACGTCACCTTGGGAGAAAGACCAGTGGGTTATAAAGGCAGAAATCCCCCTGCATGGAGAAGCGGATTGTCTAGGAAGTGCTTAGCTTGCACCACAGCACAGATCAAAAAGGATCAGTAAAACTGATTTCATCTGAGCCACTGTCAACCTTAGCATGGCAGTGAGCTGATTCAGAACACTGCTGATTGTCTGTATAGTAGAAAGACTTAGAAGTCACTTTTGAGAAATCTCTTCTGCTTGTGCTTTTCTGTGCATGGAAATATTCAAGATCCTCCTAAGACTGGCAAGGAAAAAACTTCCTCTTACAAAGTGTAAAGCCTTGAGCTCAGGAGGAGAATGTCACAGTGCCTCTTCCTACCTTTTGATGCATTTAAGCAGCATTACTTGAGAGAGTTACAGTAAAAAAGGAGGAAAGTGTTGCAGAACTACATCACTGCGTTACTGGCACTGCTGCTCTTAAGCATGAAAAAACGTGTGCTGAATGCAGCACTGCTTCTCAATTAATGGACAAAAATAATCCGAGTTCCAGTCACATTGAAGTGGACTTTTTTTCTTACTGTTTTCTTTGTACCACTGTTGAAGACACGGCAGGTTTACTGCTTCCTTTCTCCTTTGGTGAAGGGCTGGGTTGTTCCCAATAATTGTGGAAAACCTTGGAAATGTACTGTCTGTATGCATGGATGTGCACACTTTTGAGACCTCAGACCCTAGGGCACACAGGGATGGGTGTGTTTACGTCAGTCATTCCTTGTTCAACATACAGGATGAATGGAGAAACATGATATATCCTTGGGTCCTTTTAGTGCTAGAATATCCCCCTCTTCCACAGAGAGACATCAAAATAGAAGTGAATGTCTAGCTTTGAAATCGCACACAGACTACACACCTCCAAGCACTTCCAGTTTCTAAGCTATTTTCTTTCCTGTTAAGTGATTGCTTAGCATATGTTTATTCAGTTATAGTGAGTCCCAAGAAGCAAAAGCCTGTAACTTGGTAAAGAGCCTTGGAATGCTTTAGGGAAAAGCAGTCATCAGAAGTGGTGTTTGAATCATAGAATGATTTGGGTTGGAAGGGACCTTCGAGCTCATCTGGTTCCAACTAGAATGCTTGGGAGTGCTAGATGTAGCTTTGATGTTACTTGAAAGGGATTAATTAGTGGGAAAATCAGGACAATTAAGGTTGTAAAAGACCTCCAAGGTCATTTAGTCCAACTGCCAACCCATCACCACCACAGGCACCGCACCATGTCCCCAAGTGCCACATCTACCCTTTTCTTTAGCTAGGGAAAGGCTGCAAGGAAATCACTGCAACCTGGTCTTGTAGTGCAGGTCCTGGTGGGCATCTGTGCAGTGTGATCAGCTTTCAGCTGGGATAGCAAAGAAACTGTCCAGAAAGTCACATGCTAATCAGATACAAAGGTGGAGCATAAGTGATTTTCCATGGAAGTGCCAGTGCTTGAAAGCCATGGTTTGAGAGATTGATTTGTTTGGCTTAAATGAAACTCAAGAAACATCTCACACATAAATTCAGGGCAAGTAAACGGAGTAATTTACGGTGCAAGGATAACCAGCAAAAAGGGCTCAGATTTATCCCACTCTCCCAGCTGCCTTGAAAGACCTTCCTCATTAATAGAAGCAAAAACAAGTGTGTGGCTGCGGACTGAGTTGTGGCATTTTTGAGAGGACCCCTCCCATTAAACCTGGAGGAACCTTACTGTGGTGAGATGATAGAAACCACATAAGTGTGGTTTACTGTGGTGTAGGAGGCGGTGGAGAGAGGGTGGATGTGCAGAACATCTTGAGTCTTCACCAATAGAGAAGAAAGAATGAAGTTATGCTCCTGGTTGAGCAGAAAGGAGCTTTAAGACAACCTTGAGATACACGGAACAGTTTGAGTGGAGACATTGCCACGTCTGCACGTGCACAGGTGAGCTGTGGGGCAGGAATGAAGGTGTCTGTATTGACTGCAGGGGTGGTAGCTGACCTGCCTCCAGCCCATCAGTCTTCTGGCCTTCTCCTATTTCACCTTCTGTTCACCAACTGTAAGAACAAAACTGGGGGGAAGGCTCACACCTGGGTTTGCACTCATGATCTTGGAGAGTGCTCTGGTAGCTGAATTTGTTCATGTCTGAAGTGGAAAGTTAGATCTCAGAGTAGATATTTGGAAGATGGATCTGAGAACATCCCAAACCTCCTTCCTGTGGCACTTGCTCCTGCGTGTGAAGCAGAGTTGTATGTGTGAAGATCAGAGTAGAACCCTGCCCTTTACCCTTGGGTATCTGCCAGTCAGCCCTTTGTCACAGCAGCTGCAGAGTGGGAGAACAGAGCGAGGAGATGTGCTCCCAGGGTGCTGCTGTCAGAAAGAGGAGTCAAGATGGAAGACAAACACTTGTTTTGTGAGTGATGGCTTGGTGATAGGAAGTCCTCTAGGTGATGTCTAGAGGGGTTTGAGCAGTCTGAACTGCTTACTGTGGCCACATATTAAATGGCCACTGGCTGTCTGCAAAGGAACAAGAGGAGAGGATCAGAAATAAGGGGTCTAGAAGTCCAAGGTTCAAAGCTGGACTTCATGGAGTCTTTTGAGAATGTTTCTGGAGCTGCTCTGAATTATAAAGTCCCCATTCTTGGAAACACACTTACAGGAAAAAGAAAGAAAAACAGACAAGAAACACCAGCAGCAATACCCCATTGAGAGGCTCAAGCATGGCAAGTGACCTTGGTAGTGCAAAGTCAGAGGAACTTTAAGGATTTGTTTGGAAGGATCCAAGTAAGACTGAGGGAACTGAAAAGTTAATTGGAACGGGGCAAAGTGGAAGGACGATGTGGTGTAGCCTGCATTTGGAAAGGTGATCATAAAGAGAAATTTGCAGCTCACCCACAGAGTGACTGAGATGGAAAGCACCCTTGGGTTTGCAGAACGAATGGATTCCCAAGGGAGAAGTGTTTTTATTGAGTAGGTACTGAAACAGACATTGAAATTAAGCTTAAATAGCACAGAAATGCGACTTTTTGGTGGCTACTTCCTCACATCCTATCAGATATCTTTCTTCTCCATTGTATCACACATAAATGAATTGTTCTTCCCTTTCTGGCCTCTTTCAGCATAGCTTCCAGCTTATTTTTGCATAACTGCTCAGCCCATGAAGTGGCCGATCACGCAGCACAAACAGAAATAGAGGAGTCTTAAGTGGTCGAAGAATCCTTAAGATACAGGTGCACAATTTTAGGGTGGGATGGTGTTATCAGTTAGTCACATTTATCCTTTGAAACCTGAAATACAGACATTCAGATGCTGGTTATACAGCACATGTATAATGTAAATGTCTTCCTTTGCTGTGCGCTGGCTGTGCTGGCTCCAGGACAGCTGGGTTCCTTCCCATGAACATCTCTGGAGTTACACAGGTGTGCTATAATACGAACTCAGCAGGGGGATATTGAGCAGTTTAAGCTTCTCAGCTGATCACAGCTGTAGGGCATTAAATTTTAGTGGTGAGTGGAGACAGGACAAGGGGAAACGGCTGGAAACTGCAGCACAGGAAGCTCCGCACCAGTGTGCGCAAGAACTTCTTTACAGTGAGGTGACGGAGCACTGGAACAGGCTGCCCAGGGAGGTGGGGGAGTCTCCTCCTCTGGACATGTTCAAGACCTGCCTGGAAGCTGACCTGTGCGACCTGCTGTAGGGAACCTGCTTTGGCAGGGGGGTTGGACTCGATGATCTCCGGAGGTCCCTTCCAGCCCCTACAATTCTGTGATTCTGTGATTCTGTGAAATCAGTACAGCACGCATTCATGGCGTGGGCAGATCTGGAAAGTTCACACTTTGTCTCTCGAGTAGAACGCTGTTAACCTTCGATATAATCCAGTTGCTTTGGTGACAGAAGCCAGGAAGGCTCCCTTTGTTCTGAGGAGTCAGAAGCCCAGGAGCAGCTCTCATCTCCCTCTTTGCCCCTGCAGGTAAATACCACCGTCTCCGTACGGAGCCCAGCGAGCAAACCATTCGTGTTGACAGATACGTGCGCCATGAGAATTACAGCAAGCTGACCTCAGACAACGACATCGCCATGCTGCACTTGGCAGAGCCTGCCATGTATGACAAGTACGCCCTGCCCATCTGCCTTCCCACGCGGGACCTGGCAGAGCACGAGCTGACAACCAAGGGCAGGCAGATGCTGGTGACCGGTTGGGGCAGCACAAGCGATGAGACGAGGAATTACTCTGCTCTCCTCAGCTACATCGAAATCCCCATCGTTCCCAAGAATGAGTGCGCCCAAGTGATGACAAACACCATCTCTGACAACATGCTGTGTGCGGGGAGTTTGGGAGACAGGAAGGATTCCTGCAGTGGGGACAGCGGAGGACCGATGGTCACTAAATATCAGGATACTTGGTTTTTGGTAGGACTGGTGAGCTGGGGAGAAGGCTGTGGAAAAAAGGAGAAGTTTGGAGTGTACACCAAAGTCAGTCAGTACCTGGAATGGATCCAGCACCACATAAATAAGATGTCAGGTTCCTGGAGGGGTTGATTCTGGTGCTTTGAGCCTGGAATACTGTGGCTGTGTGCTGTGCTAGTGATGGTATGAGGTGTAATGTGCTGTCGCATCTACAATATTAAATGCTGAGCATCTGTTAACCTCACGTGCTACTTTCTCCAAGTTCTGTTGTTTATATGTATGGTCCTGCTTAGGCCTTACAGGCAAGAGGTGTACTGTACCCCCTTGTGCTGAGAGCCTGCACAGAGTTGTAACAAGAATGGCCTGTTGTCCAACAGATCTGCCTGCTAGGTGTGAAATGACTGAACCCAGTGGGCGCTGGGGAGAATGCCAGAGAGGTCTATTGAGAAGATGTTTAAAGTTGAATACTTCTTCATCCAGTTCTGTCATTTCAGCTCTAACACAGCAGCTGCAGTAACTGTGCTGGTTTGCTTTGTGTTTGTGTGATTTGTCTTTCAACAAAATGCAGTTTTCTTAACTTCATCACTGCCTCCAATCATTCACATTTGAATCCAGTGCTTGCAGGTCCAGCTGATGCAGCAGCTCAGTAGATCTCCTCTGTATTTTCTGTTCCTTGCAAACACAGTGACTGCTTGTAGCTACTCAGAGTTCCTTGAAAGTCAGTGGGAACTCTGCTGTGACTTAAGAAAAGAGGCTTAATTGCGAACTCTTGCATGCTCTATTTATTGTCATGTCTGTAGATCTGGTCTAATTAGCAAGCTAAGCAAACTGTTTTGTTCATTTCTATTCAGCGGCAGGCTGCATTAGTGTTCCTTTTACTTACTGATAGTTTTATGTGTGTTTGCATCCCTATCGATACTTCTGTTGGTATGCCAGTAAGCAAAGCAGGGAAGTTGGATTAGTCTAAATGAAATTGAATGCAATCACAGTTCCTGCTTGTTTTTAATCTTGACACACGAGCCTGCTCAATGTAATTGGTCCTACAGAGAAAAGGGGAAACCAGCCGTGCTGTAGTGGGTGCAGGCTTCCAGTATCTCCTTTGGGATTTGGAGCCCTGTTTGGATCAGTGATCAGTTTGCTCTCGTGATGAGATTCTGAAATGAAAGAACAACCCAGTTGTATTAGAATTTGTAGGGAAAATAATATAGTAATACCTCTTAGGCCTGCAGACTTGTCTTGTTGACTTATGAGCTGCTCACATTTACAAAGCGAGCGGAGAAGTTGATTCATGCATACAAGAAACAGGCCAACAACAAACGAGTTGGAGGTAAGCTGAAACCAGAGTACCTCAGCCACCAGTCTCTGTCTCACTCTTTGTTTCCCCCTCCCCTTTTTAAATTTGGAATGAATTTAGGGACTGACGGATGTTAAAGAATTGCACTTCTTTGAGCAGCAACCTTCCACACAAAACCTGAACCACGAAAACGTGCCTCTGAGAAGCCTTGGTACGCATTGAACTACAAGAACAAAATGGTGCTGTGTTCAAAGCCAGTAAAGCTGGGCTCTGACCAAGGGCAGAACTCCTGATGTCAGTGAACAGCTTTGGTTGTTAGCAGGCAGTGTTTGCCTGCCTGCAGGAAGCTGCAGCGCGTCCACCTGCACAGCTTTGCATGTTTCAAAAGATGTTTGCAGAGCAGCTTTGTGTATTTTCCAGGTCACTTATCTCACCAACTGAAAGAAAACGGGGGCTCCAGGAATCTGCTCTCAACAGTACCAAACTCCTGAGGAGGTTGCTACAAAGAGGCGACTCTTATCATTGGGGGATACTTTTAATGATCTTTTGTTTCTATTCACACGTGTGTGTGTGTGCAGAAACATGGAATTGTCTTTGGATTTTGGATTGCGGGTGGGTTTCAGGGAATCCAGAAGGTTGTCTCTCCTCTGTCAATATTTGTGCCTGGTTAATGATCAACCTCATGACCTCACGGCGCTTCCTGGTGCGCATCCAAATCTCTTTCCTGTCGCCCCTAAAAAATAAAAGAAAAAAAAGTGAGTATAAATGCACGTTTCTGTGTAAAAGCGAATGCATTCTGGATCCTGTTTTTTGGCAGATGACACAGATAGCAAAGAGGTACGTGCTGTCAGACCCCTGTGAAGGTAGCAGGGAGACATGTTTGGAGCCAGGCATGTGGTGCATGGTTTCCTAATCGGAGCTTGCAAATGCAGTCTTAGTTGACAGAACGCTCCGTCATTGGAGACCACGGACTGCTGTGGAGCTCAGACCTCACCACAGCCCTTGGCAATGCAGGCAGGGCTGTGGCAGGGAGTGCTGCTCTGGCTGGGCCTGATCCGTGCCTGCTGCCTCATCTCAGCTCCTCTGTCACTTCTGAGAGCTTTGGATCAGACCCTGTGCTGCTTTCTGGGCTAGGTCCATCTGTGCACATCACCCTGCAAACTGTTGGCATTCCTACAGCATTGGCAATACTCGGAGAAACAATGGAAATCACATCCGAACGAACTCAGTAGAACTTGCTCTCTTTCTCCCTTCTCTTGCTCCTACTCCCTTTTGTCGCTGTCTTGTTTGCAGGCTGGCTGCCCGTTGCTGGTGCTGTGGCAGCTCACCCATCTCATCTCACTCACCTTTTCCCTCTGAAGGAAAGTCGCAGTTTTCCAAATGCCCACTGAGATGGAGAGCAGCTCCTTGCTGGCGATGTTCATCCTGCTGATGTGCTCCATCAACAGCAGCTGTCCATACTCATATTCAGGTGGGTACTTCTAATGATGTTTTTAACCTAACTGACTTGAGAGAATCTCAGCACACTGTCCTGCAGGTTCGAGAAGGACTTCCTGAAATGCACAAGAGGAAAATGAGTACTTGGTTGTGTTTCCGTGAGACATCAGCCATTTGTAACTTCCTTCTTAGGCCCATGTTCTGTTTTTCCTGTACTGTCTTGTGACATTAAAGCCCAAATTTGAATTACGATTTGCAATTACAGCAATGTTCTTAGGCCTTCAGAAATTCCCTCAGCTTCAATACAAAAACAGCACTTGTAAAGGTGATCGAATCTTTAATACAGCAGGAGATTTTAGGGATGAAATCAATGGTTCAATTTTGTTTTTCTAGTGTTCATGAGGAAGGATGCAGCGCATGAGGTGCTGAGGGTCCACAAACGTGCCAACTATTTTCTAGAAGAGATCCGCCCAGGGAACTTGGAGAGAGAATGCAATGAGGAGAAGTGCTCATTTGAGGAGGCAAAGGAGATCTTCCATTCGCAGGAGAAAACGGTGAAAAAGTGAACAGTGAGCTGGAAGGACTTGTCCTGGAAGGGATTCCACCAACAGATCAACCCAACGCTAACTTCAGTTGACTTACCAATAGCAAATAATGTTCTGTCCTTTTAATTCCAGATCCCAACTCTTCAGATAGCTATAAAGGCACAAAGCAGGGAAACGTGCAGGGGGAAGCTTGGTTTGGGTGGCAGGGGAACAGGAGGAGGAGCAGATGCTACTCCTGATGAACTTGCTGCATGGGTGCTCTCACTCCATAGTGCCCTGTTCTGGGGCTACGTAATCCACTTGCCTTAACCTGGTTCAGAGCAAAGAGCTGTAGTGTTCAGCACAAGTTAGAATGGCACGAATTGCTGCACTCTCCCCGTCCCCAGGTGAGCAGTGTGTCTGTGTCTGTGCTGCTGGGCATTGCCAGCAGCTGGGAGTTGGCAGAAAGGATTTCACACATTGCAGCTCTCGGCTTTAGGCGTCAAATCTGCAGGAATATCCAGAGTGCTGCAAGGGGCCTGGGCTGCTTTCTAGCCTTAGGTGCCTTAGGTGCAGGGTCTTCAAAGAGCTGCGTGCTGGAAAAGCAGCTGTACAGCAGCTGCTGTACCCAGAACTTCTTTTTGTGAGCACCTCAGCCCAGCAGCACGATTCTGGCCTTTTCAGGGGGCTCAGCCTTGCTCAGATCAATACAAGGTGAGGGAGGACCTTGTTCCCGTAGCACCCAGCTGGGTTGCAAGGCTGCAGGCATTCTGCTGGGGACCTTGCAAAGCAGGAGTTTGCACTTTGAGTTTTATCCCAGTACAATCCAATTGCTGTTCTCTGCTCCGGAGCGTGCTGATAATGAAGAGGATTTTATGGTCCTAATCAAACTCTTGCTTTACATGGAAACAAAAATTTGTTTTCTAAGTGACTAATAACAGTATGGCCACTTAGTGACTGTTTTCTTTCATGATTTCTTCTTGCAGATGGAGTTTTGGTTCAACTACAAAGGTGGGTAGAACAAAAATTACAAATAATTATTCCTTGTGTTCCTTCTGGGTACAAAGAATTCTGTGGAAATTTAAAACCAAGCATCTCTCAATCCCTGAATTACATTGTGCTGTGTTTTTTCTTAGGTTTAAATCCATGCACTACAAATCCTTGTAAGAATGGTGGAGTTTGCAAAATAAGACGCTACAGTTACTTTTGCATCTGCCCCCCGAAATTTGGAGGAGACAACTGTGAAAAAGGTGAGTAGAGGAACGAACACGTGGACATTCAGTGAAGGAAGAATTAAGGCTGGGATTTGTTCCCTGGACACTTTTCATTGGGGTTCTCGATGCTGACTTCATGTGTGCAATGCATACCTGGTTGGTTGGTTAAGTTGGTTAAGTACCCTTTAGAATGGGTTGTGCACAGGAGGGCAGCACTGTCTGTCACACAGCAGCTGCCATTCTGGCCCCTTGCACTGATCTTTGCAAGCCCAGCGGAAAGCATGAGCTCATCTCCCACTTCCTCTCTTGCTGCCTTGCTTCCTTCCTTCCTTTCTTCCCTCCTTCTCTTCCTTCCTCCTTCACTCTCTCCCATCTTCCCTTCCTCTTTCTGTCCTGCCCTTCAATCTCTCCATCTCCTCCCACCTCATTTATTCCATCCCTCCCTTTCCTTTCCCCCTTCCTTTCCACATCTCAATTCCTTCATTCCCTCCCTGCCTTCCCATCCTCCATTCTTTGCTCTCTCCTTAACTCCTTTCCTTCCCTTCCTCTCCCTCCATTCTTCCCCCTTCTCCTCACCAATTCCTCCCCTCTTCTCCTATCCTCCTTTTCTCTGTCCCATCCTTCCATTTCCCTTCCTTCCTTCTTCCCACTCTCCCTCTGGTTTCCTGCCTCTTTTCCTGCCCTACTTTATCCAACCACCACACTCTCCTCTCTCAACCCTCTCTTCCCTCCTTCCCACCCTACCTCTCTTTATGATTTCCTCCACCCTCCCTTTACCCTTCTCTCCCTGCCTCCCTTCCTTCATCCCACCCTTCCCTTCAGCCTTCCTACCTTATCTGTTCTTCTCTGCCTTCCCTGTGTCTTTTTCCATTTTCTCCCTCACACTTCCATCACTCTTCATCTCTCTCTCCCCCCTTCATCCTCTTCTTCCTCCCTCCCTCCTTTCATCACCTTTCTGCCTGCCTCTCCTTCAGTCCCCAATTCCTTCCCTTTCCTTCCCTTTCCCCCCCTCACTACCTGCTCTGCAGTACCTCTCTCTCCGGGCCCTGTTTGCAGCACTAACCTCGCACTGTGCTTCCACTGCAGAGAAGTTGGAGTGCTGGTACAAGAACGGTGGCTGCTGGCAGTACTGCTGGGACAGCAGCTCCTTCCAGGTGCAGTGCTCCTGTGCCAAGGGCTACGCCCTGCATGAGGACGGGAAGAAGTGCGTGCAAACAGGTACTGTGCACCCAGCTACTGGAGCTTGTGCTTGGTGTGTGGAAAATGAAACGTTTGGATGCCTCTCGGTTAGCCTTTCTGCAACCCTGTGTCTCTGTAAGCACAAATGGAGGCAGGACAGCAGTAGGGGCAGGAATGAGTCCTTTCCTCCCACCAGCATCTCCTGACACAGCATCAAGCACCCGTTGCTCACAGCCTTTCTCTTTTTCCCCCAGCCCCGTTTCCATGTGGCCTGATCAGAGCCCGGCGTGCCTTGGAGGAAGCACGGCACGAGGCGGCCACGTGGAACAGCAGCACAACTCCTGCAGTTAAACAGGCCAAGGGGAAGCAAAGTGCTGCGGGGGAAAAGGAAGCTCTAAAGGATGCATCTGGGCAAAGCACAGCCGTGGAGGACGATGCTGGGCAGGAAGGTGGGGACCCCAGTCAACAGCCCCCAGAGGGACCAGCCTGGCAGAATGAGACAACAGTGGCTGCCATGCAGGAGGAAATGGCGAAGAAATCTTCTGGGCAGAACCAGAGCGGGCAGAGCAGCGGGCAGGACAAGACAGGAGCAGTGCAGCACGTGCCTGGGGGTCTCCATGCCAGTGACAATGCAGATGTCTCAGCCACACCTCAGTGCCCCCAGAGAAACGCCAGCGCTCCCACAGAGCACAGAGACCCCAGGATAACTGGAGGAACGTTGTGTCATCGGGGACAGTGCCCCTGGCAGGTAATGAGCACACCTGGGTGCTTGCTGTGCAACTGGGTCCAGCTGGAGCAGCTTTCAGCAATGGTTGCTGAGGTTGGGTCTGTAGGTCAGCAGTAATTTGAGCAAACACCATGTATTTATTTCTCAAACTGCATTTTTGATCCATGTGTTTCACTTGTTGCTGTTTGCATGTTTAGTGCTTTCTCAGCTACAGCAGCTGGCTCTTCTGCTCTCGTTCATTTTGTTTCTGTCTGCTTGTGGTGCTGGATGCTTTCTGAAATGGCTGTTTGTATTTCTAGTCTATGTGCCCAGGTGAGATTTTTGTCCTGAGCCTTTCAGAGGATCCCAACCTGAAGGCAAATGGCAAATAGGGGAACTTCCACAATCCCTCTTTCGTGCCCTTTGTCACTACTACTACAGCAGTGCTGTTCTCATGCAGGTTTTGATCCGTGACAGCAGAGATATTGGTTTCTGCGGAGGGAGTTTGATCAACAGCCGCTGGGTGATCACAGCTGCTCACTGCCTCGATCTTGTCCGACCTCACCACGTGACCATAGGTGAGTACCAGTCAGCACTGCGCGCCCCTACAAACCCAGAGGTGATCTCATTTTAAATGTCAGCATTGTGCAGCAGGCTTGGTGTCTCAGATCTGCCACTTCTCAGGGCCCGGTAAGATAACAGCACTGGTGGCAGTAGCAAGCTGGCACCCTCACCCCAGGCGTGCTGCAGTACAGCCTTGTGCTTGAGACCTCAAGGAAAAGAGGGACAGCAGCAGCGAGCAGAACACAGCCCAGGTAACTGGCACAGACCAGTGCTGCATCTTTATGTCAGAATCCTGAGTGCTGCCCTTCCCAATAGTTCTTGACAACATTGGTGGTGAAGTCCCTACCCAGGACTCTGCTGCTGTTGCTGGTTCACCCCTAAGGAGCAGATTGGAAAAGCCGAGTTGCAGGATCACATCTGCACTCCAAGAAGTTACTTCACACAGCCGGCTTTCTTTGTCAAAGCACTGATACATGAGCTTCCTGCTCCCCCGATACTGAGCAGGCCCATCGCATGCGGCTTCCCTTTAACTTGTTGTGGCTACAGGTGACTTCGACAAGTACCAGAGAGAACTGAAGGAGCAGAAGATAGGTGTGGAACGGAGCTGGACGCATCCGCACTACGATTCCAACAACTACGACGGGGACATCGCCCTGCTGTACCTGAGCAGCGAGGTGGTTTTTAACGATTACGCCATTCCCATCTGCCTGCCCAGCCCCAAGCTGGCAGCCCTGCTGGCCGAGGAAGGACGAGTGGGGATGGTGAGCGGCTGGGGCGCCACGCACAGCCGGGGCTCTACACTGCGCTTCCTCATGCGGGTGCGGCTGCCCGTTGTGAGCATGGACACGTGCCAGCAGGCCACGCGCAGGCTGGTGACAGACAACATGTTCTGTGCTGGGTACGGCACCGAAGCTGCAGATGCCTGCAAGGGCGACAGCGGAGGCCCATTTGCTGTGTCTTACCACAACACTTGGTTCCTGCTGGGCGTCGTAAGCTGGGGTGACGGCTGTGCTGAAAGGGGAAAATACGGTGTGTACACCAGAGTGTCCAACTACCTCCCCTGGATTAAGGAGACTGTCGAAAGCGTGGCAGATTCAGAAAAGTTTTCCATTAATTTTTCCTAAGGGCGGCCTCAAAACTAGGGACAATTCTTGTATTACAGCTGTCCCTGATGCTGAAAGCCAAGTTTGTCTTTAAAGGAATGCCGAGTCTCAATTTACCATGATTTGTTGAATCGCTCAGTAAATATTACTAAGCAAAACAACACATGTAATAAAGAACTATTCCTGCAATAACAAAGGCGACAACTGAACTTCTTTCTGAAGATGGCGGTAGAAAGGAGAGCTGGGCTGGCTGTTCTTTTGCTTCTCACACCTACACTCACATCACACAGGGGCTGACTGCTCAGAAAAGGAAGCACGTGGCAGGCTGTGCTCTCTGGCTGTGCAGGGATCATGGATCAAGGAAGTTCTGCAGTGTGTGCCTGCTGCTTCAAGTACAATTCAATTCACTGAAATAGCAGTTGTTGCTGATTAGAATCTTTACTACAAGCTGTTCCAGCTGCACTGCTTGGGAGAGGGACTATACAAGTGGAGCTACAGAACACAGACCTGCAGGCATAGCACAGAACGAAGGGCCAATTTTTACACCCTTTTCCTGAAGGAAAAACGCACACTCATTAATTCTTGAGACCCCCCCCACTCCCTCTTACACATCATTTCTCTCTCCCAGTGTTTGCTGCAAACCAGCACACACAGGTGTATGCTGCAGTTAGCAGGTGGTCTTTTCCACCCATCTCCAAAAGATATTCTCACTTTGTCACCTTTCCTACAATCTACCAGCAGGCTCCCATAAAAAACAAGTCTTACTCATTATCAGCTCTTCTCTTCAGCTTCATGGACACCGGAGGGCCTGTAGTTAACAAAACTCTTGAGATAAATACCCCCGGTGCCTGATGTGTGCAGTGCCATAACTGCAATAAAGCTTGGTGGTTGCAGGGGGAGGGCTGGGAAAGCCAGTCTGACCCACAGACCTTCAGGGCCAAATGGAACCAGGATGTGAATACAGTTCATTGACTTTCACAGAGCTTCACCTGCCACTATGGCAATAAGGAATCCAGCCTGTCAGTCAATTCTTAATTAAAAAGAAAAAAGAACATAACTTTGGAACAGCAGGCATAAAATGACACACACCTGAGTTACATAAATAGGATTACTTACTTGCTCTTACCATGCATGCAAGTGGAATTCCTTCAACAGTGCATGCATCCTTCACTTTTTGCTTAAAGAGCACATCCCCCTCCTGGCTAACAAAGGCAGATCTCAAGTGCAAGCATCATCTTCTTACACTCTTCTCTGTTATTGTCTCCAGCTGACCCTGAGCATCTTCTGGGTCAGTGCACACTGAGACCCACCTGAAACAAGCCGAGCTCCACCCAAGCAATCTAAGTGCACAGCACACAGTGCCCAGCCAATTCAGCAGCCTCAAGAACCTTCACTCCAAAGTCTGGTTTACTGTAGAACGCTACTGTGTGCTTCACAGCAAAGCCCTTCACCTGCAGCTGCCTGATCTCCAGCAGCAGGCACCAGTGGAGGCTGTGCTCAGGGCACAGCATGGATCCTGGCTCAGTAACAGCATCACCTCACTTACTGCGAGCAGTTCTGCTGGAAGCTGCTGGGTTTTCAATAGTTGGCCTCCACTGGTCCTCTCCTGAGCTCTGCACCACACACTCATGACAAAAGAAGTCCTTCAAGAGGAAGATGGTCAGTATTTCTGTTGTGCAGATCTCCAAAGACAGGAAAACTGATTAATATTTAAAAAGCACCGAACACATAAGAAATGGAAAACAAGAAACAAATCACAATCATCAGCTTCTCCACACGCCAGGTGCTCATTTTTTCTTCACATCTCACGTACTCACTCTCTCCTCCATGCTCCCTATACACGTCATTCTGAGCAAATAACAGACAACCCCCAAAAAACAGAAGATGTTTTATTGTCTAAAGAGTTGCAATACAACAAATGTGTGATCTGTACAAAGGACACAGTAGAGCAAGTTTAAATACAATCAGGAGAAAGAAGTCCCCAAATTCACAGTCCTTGGACATTATCTTATACCAGAACCTGAACCAACAATTTAAAGATCAACTACAAAACCCAAATGAGTTGTTAAAAAAACATTAAGGTCTCCCAAGAGTCTATGGGTGCATTGTCTTACAGCAGAGATCACAGGGTATTCTGTGAAGGGTCACAATGGCATCTTATTGCCCTCAATGCTGATTTTCACCGCATGGGCCGATCTGCTTTTTTTCCTGATATCTGTGAATTTCCGCATCTGTTTGTCCAGTCGACTCACCCCTTTCTTAGAGCTCCCCTGGAACTTAAAAAACAAAACTAGGAATTACCACTGAAAAAAAAGCAGACGTCCCATAGGCTCAAGAAAAGCAACGCATGCAAGGTGAAGCCTGCGAGTGGGACCTGAAGGAGCCCCCGGTGTGGGGAGGGGCGTGCAGCTCTGCCCTCAGCTCCCCCACGTGGACACACAGCTCCCCCAGCCTCCCAGCCCACGGATGGCAGTGATCACACACACGTCACAGAGGAAAGCTCTCCCACTGCAGAGGTTAACAGACACACGAGATGTTGACACGCTGGCAGAACATACAGTTTGGAATAGCTGTTGTCTGGAGCGCAGTGACAGATATATTGCACAGTGCCATACACACAGGTCCCCTGGGGAAGGCTTTAGAGGCAGCTACACATGACTGATTTGATGCATCAATTCCAAACTGTGATTTATTTTGCAATTAATTCATCAGTGGGAGATTGAAAGAGTGGGGAGATTATTGGGAAATAAAGGAGTGAGGTTGGAAGTGAAAGAAATGCCTAAGGAAAGCTGATCAGATCAGTTACTAGGAGTTGCTGCATTTCATCTCTGTGTTTTAACTGCAGCTGAAGAACAGACACAACACAGCAGTTATTTCACAGGTGAGAAACGCCACTGAAGACAAAGGACATTCCAGTCCACAACCACCTCCTAGATGCAAGTTCCCCTTTAACTGGACAGCAGAAACAGTGATGGAAATTTCACACCTTTTACATTTGGGAAAAAGCAACATGTGGAACATGCTACTTAGCATCTGACCAAAGCAGCTGTTGGGAACTGAGCCTCTGGTTCCACTGCTACAGAACACTCATTTAAAACGAACTCTATTTATTCATACAATTCAGTCAAGTTCTGTCTGGAAGTTCACTGATTTATTTTCAGGGGAGATATCTATATGCGTGCTTTAGGTTTGAGGTTTGTTTTTCATCGTTGTTTTACATGAATAAATACGAAGTTTAAACTCAGCATCTATCATTTGTGCTTGCCTCACATCACTGTTCCTTGATAACACCTCTGCTCACAGAACCTGAACGCAGAGTCAGCACTGCCCACACAATTCTCATGTTGATGCACATTAGTGACTGATCTCCCTCCACTCCACACTCATGGCAGGGGAGTCTTGTCCTGCTTCTGACAACCACCCCCCGAATCTCATTGTCAATGACTGGGAAAGAGGTGTGACAAACATCTTGTTTTGTCTCAGTAAAACACCACAGTCCTACACTGAGAGCTAAGAATTTCTGTGCATCTGTCCAGGCAAACCTGGAGAATTCAAGTAAGAATGAGTTTCAAGTGCCAGACTTGCTGGTATGCCAAGCACCAGAAGCCACAGGTGCAGAGCTTTGTGAGCACAGGGATTCTCATGTAATACTCATCATTTGGGTACCATGGAAGTAACAGGCGCAGGAAGCACGGCTGGTGTCACGTGCTACAGACTTTTTCCTGTACAAATTACAGTTTAGGCCACAGTGCAGACATCAGAGAGTACAAGGAGAGTTTTCCAAGTTTAATGGGGGTGTACACACTCCTTTCCTGTGTGTGCAATCTGCCAACAGCTGAAGCACATGCACTGTTCACACCTCCCTTGAGGGATACCTCTCAAACTTGGGGAAGGCAGTGTCATGGCTACAGGGGCATCCTGTTGCCTTCAATGCTGAACTTGATGGCCCGATGCACTTTGCTGAGTCGTTTCTGTTCAGCAAACCGTCTCTTGTGCTTTTCCAAGCGACTAATACCTCTCTTAATAGTCCCGGGCTAGAAACAACATCTCAATTAATGCAAAGAAGGAAAGATAACAGCAGAAAGATTACAATAGTTATTACCTCTTCCATTTACATCGGTTCTACCACGTGCTCTACCTTTAAATGAAAACCATACCAAGTAGATGGAAGAACCAAATTAAACAAGGCACAGGCCTCTACTGAAGCTGTTAATGGCTGCCGAAACCTCGATGTTTTCCCAAACCAAAATACTATCAGAAGATTATGAAACAAAAAATGGGGGAGAGATAGAAAATATCAGTGGCATACTTATTGAACTGCTGCTTTATTTCAACACGTTCTGAAAATAAGAGGCCTGTAACCAAACTCTTGCAGTAGAGAGAAGCTCTAGAACAGATAAGGTGAAAATCTCTTTCTGATAAGAGAAGCAACGCTACCTGTGGAAAGAATTTGATGGGCTTATCTGAAAACAAACCTGTTGTCTACTCCTATTAGAAGAGGCACATAAAAAGAATCACTATGCTGTTCAGTATCTACAGCAGGAAGGTGACAAGTCCCCAGCTCACTCACAGAGTCACTAGGAGAGGCCCCAGCAACACCCCACACCACAGCTTACCCTGGAGGACTCCATCTCCACGTTCCACTTTGGCCTGACCACGTAGTCCTTGTTGGAGGGCATCGGCACCCTCGCACGGGCACAGAAACCTGGGTCTCCAGGCCTAAGAGCTCTGAAGAAAGGAAAGTTCCCGTTAGGTAACAGCAGCCTCTAACAGAGCTATGACTGATTCAGATACAGGTAATTCTGAAACCGAGTATTATCACTGATTTCAAAGCCTCAAAATGAACGTGTATTGTTAGTTCTTTAGAAATACCTTTTTCTAGTTCAAATAAAAATCAATAAGAATACTTCAACTCACTTTTCCTCTCCTGTTAACACTTTCTCCAGATCCCTGCGGGGAGTCTGACCACCAGAACTGCAAGAAAAATCCATCTTTATTAAGTATTCATACACAGACAAACATAGTAACTTCAAAGGACAATCAAGTACAGCAAGAGAAAAAAAAAACTGAGGTAAGAAATAACTGTTCTTCAATTTACCCCAATACCTGCACACAGTTTTTCTTTATGGGAAGTCCTAGAAAGAAAAATAACGCATTCACATTTCTGCCTGCTATTCCTACCTGCTCAACCTCCTCCGCTGAGGCATCTGTTCCAAATCTCTCTGTTCTCTCTCTTCTCTTGTCATGCCTTTGTAGTTTGAGGTAAGCCCAAAGATGGGACGAGACCATTCATCTAGTAAATAAATAGGTAAGTTAAACTTCCTTATTATCAGTGTTTATTATCTACACACCATTCCTTTCAAGGTTCATATATACTTTTCTCCAGCTGAGCAGCTGATCTATGAACTCTTTGTATTACAGAGAAATCCCAGAGTTGCATACAGAAAGAAAGAGGTTTCACTCATGAAGTCTGTTTCTGCTCACTGTTCAGTGCATTGTTTGTTTGGTTTTTTTTTGGGACGCTCTCAGCTCTAGGAACACTCAGTGTCAGAACCTCCTGCATGGCACAGTGAGTGTTACTTTAGAAATAAGAAAAATATATGCAGAAGAGCAGAAAAAAGGTTTTAGATCAGCTTGTAGTCACTCAAGATGGAACACACCACACGACATTACAGCTGTTTAAGTAGTGGATTTTTAGACAGCCATCCAAGATCTCACTGAACTTCAGAGAAAGGGCTGTTTTCTGACAGCACCTTCCATCCTCAGTAACCTGTGGGAGATGCAGCCAACTTGCCAAGGAAGAATTTGGGCAAAATAAAAGCTATCCTCTAATTTTAAAGCAAAACAGACAGAAACAGGGAGAAGTGCATGCAGATAGGAACCTAACAGCGTTCATTTAGAGCCCTGCAAACAAAGCCATGAGACCAAGGAGAAATCTCACACTGCAGTGACTTCTACTATAGACTGTAACAACATGCAAAAGAAAGACTGATAGAAATTAAATTATCAGAGAGACCTCACTGAAGCAAGATAAAAGGTTTACATACTGATCAGCTTCCCTGCCATATCCTTGTTAGGTCTTGACTCTTTGGGGTGCTTGTAAAGGTACATCACAGCTCGTCCAATTCCACTGTGCTTCAGGGTCTCCTGACTCACGCTTGGCAGCTACAAGAGAAAGCAGAAGTCAGAAAAAGGCAACAAATTCTGTCTGAACATTAATGGTGCCACTGAGTTTTGTAGAAAACAAAATTCTGTTAAGTGTTTATTCCAAATGCTCTTGTGCTTATATTACCCAAAACCACTGTCTTCCTAAACAAGCATTTTGTAAGGATTCAAGTTCACGTGGCAAATGCATTCCAGTACAACTTAACTGGGTCAGAACTTGTGCAGTTCCTTACACAAGGACAAATATTTCTGAACACTCACAGCCAAGTAGTGATGCTGCAAGGCAAATCTAACTTCTACCTCTCTGTCAAGGCTATGCCATACTCTGCTTATGAACGCAGCAAAGCCAACCTAAAGTGAACCATCACAGCACATGAACCACTGCAGTGAGGGAAGATAAGTGACTAAGGTCCAGATTCCAGAATCTAGAAATGCCAGAGCATGGGAACTCCCTGGTAGAGAGCAGGGAATTCGACACGTGCTGTTTGTGAGAGGCTTTCTGAAACATCTCCTGGCCTGCTACTTAATACAGCTTTCTGCTTTATTGCTATCACAAGCAAAATCTTCCTAACAATTCAGTGTCTGCAATTCCCTACCCGCATTTTGTTCAGCTAGACAGCATACCTACAACATAAGGAACACTTAAAATGATGCACATTTAAACCAAACATCTAATTTGTGGTTGCTTCCTCCTGCACTTCAGCACAGGGCCCACCAGCAGTGTCACAGCAGTCAGCACTACGCCTTTCCCCAAAGCACAACTGAAAGCCCACGGATGAAATACAGTTAGAAGGCAGTTTAAAACCTCTTGCAGGATCTTCAGAAGCTCCTCTCGTATCTTCAGTGCTGGCAGACTTCGGTCTGGGAGAGGAGAAAGCCACTCCTTGATGGCAGACATTACACCACTATCGATGAACGTTTCTTTGAGGTCCTGCCTAGGAAGTTTAAAGAACAGAGAATCCACAGTCATGCAACACATCTGGATCTGAAGACATAAAGCTCCACCAAGTGCAACAGTATATTTAATAGGTAAAACTAGGTGTAATTTTAGTTCTGAGGGCACCTACCTCCAGCAATTACCCAAAATGGTTCCCTGCATACTCATTAAACTGGAATGTCACCCTATGAAATCCACTTGCTCCCCAAGACAATAAGCAGCTCCAAGACAGACTCACTTTTTAAGATGCATAACTACAGTTGGCAGCAAAGTCAATTTCTTCAGCGCGGGTTTCTTTTGTGTGTTCAGCTGCCGATCCTCCTGTAGAGAGTTGAGGAATTACAAGATGATAAAAGAAGGAATCAGCAATTCTCATCCATTACAACATTTACAGGGAAAGGGTGAGTGGAGAACTGGAGAAGTGCACCTTTGGCAGAATGACACTGACTTTATGTGCCATGTGACCCTGTGACTCACTTTATGTGAGTGACCCTGTGCCACCCCTTCCTACAGCTTCAAAACACATCTCATATGATGATTTCTCAAATAAATAAGCAAACAAAATCCCCTCCTTAATCAACATTTCATTAAAGTATCACATTAGGAGATTCCCCAAGAATTACATGCTTTTCTATGTCATGATTCAGGTCTATTGCAATAAACTGGAGCTCTGCAGGGTCCTCCATGCGAGGTATGTGCAGCTTACCTAGAAACTCTGACAGTAAACTCACATCTGAACAATAAAAACCAACTAACCAAACAGTAAGAAGTGAAAACACATGCATTCAATGAATACAACTGTACAATGCAGAGGTTTAGAATAAAGCATGGTGTAACTAACATAAAAGTACACAGTTGTGCATCACGTGCTAGAACAGTGTCAGCTGCACTTAGTTAGGTGACTGTGCTCCAAGGTAATTATTTCAGTATCTATTCAGCACTTGAGATCGAATATCAAAAGACCATAATGACCAGCAGTTCTGTGTCCCAATGCGTTAACAGCTTTCCACTCACACTCAATTCATTGAAGGCTCTTCCTACACAGAGGGTTTTTTTATTATAAGTGAGTCTCTTGTAATAGGATTCTGCAATACCTCCCACTCCTCTGCCCCACAACAGCCTGACAGGCTCACAACAAACAACTCAACTGGAGCTCCCTTCTTCTCTGCAACACGTCACTGCTTCTTTTAGAACATTTCTCCACAAAATGGCCTGGGTTGCAAAGGAGCACAGTGCTCATCTCGTTCCAACCCCCTGCTGTATGCAGGGTCACCAACCAGCAGCCCAGGCTGCCCAGAGCCACATCCAGCCTGGCTCTGAATGCCCATCATCTTGTCCAAGACCAGGAGTCACAGCCACCTCCCAGTCCACCATCTCACTCTTCCCTCCCTCCCCAAAACATATTAAGAAAGATTTTTCTTTCTAAAATTGTCCCCAATTGCTTTTAGTAAGTTCCACCTGACAGTTAACTTGATTGCTACTCCAACAACATTCCAAAGACAAAAGACATATCCTGCAGACCTTGCACACAACCAACATATTCAACACAAGTCTCTGAAAGAGGAAGCCTGCCAAACCAAAATTTCCCCTAATTCTATGTTTCTACCAATTCAACACATTACTGTCATTCAAGCACTTTAGAAAACGTTTCTTCTGCAGAACAAATAATTAAGTTCTACATGCTAGTAACTGTATAATGAAATATAGTTCCTTTCTCAGTATCTGATGTACATACATTTTATAAAACATGCGTTCATCTCTTTTTATAGGGCAACTGATCTCCAATGATGAAAGTGTTAACACATTTACTAACCATAATCTTTAAAACAATTTACCTAAGTTTCAACAGAAAGAAAATATTGAATTCAGACCAGCAAAATTCTCATCCACTGTTCAGATACGCACAGCACACAGATTATGTTATACTTCTGAGTACCAGACAAACACACCTCTTTCACTGAACACAAAATAGAAATTAATTTAGAAATTAATTCTGTGTCCCTGGAACACAGAAAACTTACCTCTGCAGCTTCATTCATCTTCACAATCATAGCACTGACCACATCATCTGCATCACTAATGAACGTCCCACCATCACGGTTTCGTCGACGCTTGCCACTCATACTCTTCTTTCGTTGCAGCATCATGTCAAAATCTGACATGAAGTCCATACTGAAATGCAAGGAGAGTCTGCTCATAGAAGAGAGTTTAACTGCCTGTCCTTGTTGAAAATAATTTTATATTTCTCTAGCATCACCTTTCTGAAGGTGTTCCTGAACTCTACTAGAATTCTGTCTCAGTGTCCCTGGAAGATATTAGATGTCTTCAGTACACTAACAGGGAAATCAAAGAGCTTCAGTGGTTCTGAGGTGTGCTCAGAAGTCTGTAAGACTTTACTGAAGCAGCTACAGACATCAGGGTACAAGTGCTAAAGCTGTCACTGAAGCTGTCCAAGATTTAGCTTTCTTGTACCTGCAATGCATTCCTCTGACACTACTAGAGGACACAAGGACAGAAAAGAGAAGGTGAGGTCAAATCACACCTTATCCCCAGTGAGGATAGAACTGTGACTGTGAAAGAACCAATGCTACTACAAGCAGCCTAGCACTGAACTGCTACAAGTACAGGAGGATGTTTGCCTCAGCAGCTATTGTAAGTTTTGATGGGAACTCCAAAATGCTCCACCTGTGCTGCTGCTCCAGTTTTCTTCTATGGATTGCCAAGTGACCAAAGTGAAGAAACAGAGCAGAAACAGGCAGAGAGAACTCTATGTCACAGTCAGTGAGAATGTGTGCTTTATGTTGAGACACTGCCCTTCCCTTGCCTGTCTGCTGCATGAAGTCAAGCTGGTTTATGGAGAGGCTCTTCTGCATAAATCTTGTGTTTATTAACAAAGTATGTAACACATCAACTTACTGCTTCCCTCTTTTAACGTTATCATCAGAGTCAGACTCATCTGCTGTCTCCTTCATCTCTGCATCACCCTTCTCTTCTTCCAAGTCTTCCTGGTTAAAGCCCTGACAATAAAGACAGTGCAAGTCAGTATAGGAGTTAAGACTGAGCATCAACTCAGGTGCTTGACTTTTACATTCTCAAGGCTTCCTCTAAACCCTCTTCAGACTTATCTGGAAGAGGAACAAAAGATTAAGATTTTCACCTACAGCTTTCACACCACTGACTCTCAATAGCAGAGTGGTGAAAATTATTCAACTCAGTCTGCCTCGGAAAGTCCAGGAGATAAAAAGACTTCCCTCCTGAGACACAGTATTCTCCAACAGGAATGCAAACCCCAACAGGCATTCTGGGAAGAGCTTCCCACGAAGATTATACCATCAACTAAATACCAAACCTCCACAATAACACTTACTGTAAATTCCTCTTCTTCTTCATCACCAGACTCTCCAAATATATCTGCGATCAGGTTCCTGGGAAGATAACAGAAACTTTGATCTGTTTACACAGCAGCAGTGAGAACACATTTTCTGTGACATTTCTAATGTGACTGGGTGCAGATCCACCCCTTTCATTTTGCCACACTGACCCCCCTGGCAATACCCATAAAGGTAGATTCTGGCTGGTACTTTTCCATCTTCCTATTCACCATCAGTGTAACTCCCTGCAACCCTGAAGGAATTCATATTCCCAGAAGCACTTACTCTTGTTCATTTCCAGATTCACTGTCACTGCCAAACAGATCTTTCTCTTCCTTTTTCTTCCCAGTATCCTCTTTTCTTTCTTCCTCTTCTTCACTATCTGATACCATATTTTTCTTCCTTTTGTCAGATTTCTCTGAAGCAGCATCACTATCTGATTCTTCAACATCAGAAAGGATTCGTACTTTTTTTGCAGCTGCCAATGGAAAGAAGCATTACTGCCTGCCCTGGTAAGCGAAGTGACAACGGTGTGCTCCCACGGCTGTTCTCTCTCAAATTCAATGTGAACAGCAGGGAAGCCAATTAGTGTTCATTCCTACACTGAAACAACTGCTCTTTTGAAGAAGAAAACACGTTCATTCTGAAATTTGTTTTATCCAGTCAGTAACTGAATAAAACTCCATAAAGCACATCTGTCCATATGAACTTTCACTTTCAAAACTCTCACTCCTAGTATATTTAAGACAAAACAGAGGGAAAATATGACCAGGGAAATAACAGCAAATCAAGGAATAACTGTAACAGAAACAATCAATGTGACAACAGATTCCAGTATAAAGCAAGATCATAGATGCAGAATATTCTTCTGTTAAACCTACTTATCACTCCAAAGCACTGGATATTCACACAGAAATGCACGCAGAACAACCCCCTCCCCAAAAGCAGTGCTCTAAGAACAAACCTACTTTGCAGTTTCACATTTATCTTAGATATTAATTACATCACTACTGCTGGTCAGATCACATTATTTTCGCATTCAAGTTTCTTACGTGCTTTCTCATTCTCATCCTCACTGTCAGAGAGGATGGCTGTTTTCCTCTTCACCGTCTTCTCCTCCTCTTTCTCATCATCATCATCACTGTCCGATATTTTCCGTCTCTGAGGACCTTCTTCTTCACTGTCAGAACCCTGAAATCCCTCCCTCGCTTGTTCGTTATCTGAACGGTGAGAATCGTTCTGCGCCTCCTCCTTCCTGTCCTCCCCATCGCTATCATCAGACTCTATTTCTGGTTTGTGCCTGGCAATGCCCTCGCTCTCCGAGTCGCTGCCCAGCTGTTTGTGGAGCTCCTCGCTCTCCGAGTCGCTGGCCGGCTGCTTCTGGAGCTCCTCATTCTCTGAGTCGCTGGCCGGCTGCTTCTGCGACTCCTCATTTTCAAAGTCACTACTGTGATTCCTGGGAGGTTCTCCATTTTCAGAGTCACTCGCTTGATGATTTAAGGTATCTTCGTTTTCAGAGTCACTTAAGTGTTGGTTTGGACGGTCCTCGGTATCGGAGTCGCTGTCTTTCCCTCCCTGAGCTGCTTCGTTGTCTGAATCGCTGGCATTGTGATTTGGAGGCTCCTCGTTATCTGAGTCACTGTCTTTTTGCCTCGGTGCATCTTCATTCTCAGAGTCTGTCATATGAGGCTCTCCCATTTGCCCATCATCTTCTCCATCGCTGTGTTCGTTCTGGAAAAAAACAAACAAGATCTCAGACAACAAAGCAAAAAACCAAGGAACAAAAAGCATTCCTTGCTTGTCCTTCCTCCCCTTTGATTGCCCAACCTACTACAGACTCAAATACTTTCTCTATAGAAAGAATTGCTAGACAAATTGTGTCAAAAAAATATCAAATACCACAGATCAAGGAAAATCTTCAGAGATCAATGGAACTGTGTCCATCCTGCTGCTCAAATCTATTTTGGAAATAGTAATAGAAAAAGAGCCCTCAAATTAAGATGTCCAAGAAAGGTCCATCTCCCTCAAGGGAGAGTACTTCAAGGCTTCCATTCAGAGAGTCCAGACTTCAAAGTGGATTAGCCCAACTCCCTTCAAAATAATCGACCTCCCATACTGGTCATTTTCTTAAGATGCCAAATAAACTCTTTTGTACGAAATACATTTTACTGAAACTGCAGATGCACTGTTTTCTGAATGAAGCTCAAGAGAGCTTGTGCTCTTTCAACATTTAAAAACACACCAAGATCAGAAGCCCATTAAAAAATACATAAAGCTTTAGTCAGACCAGTTAGGGTATTATTGACAAGCTCTGCGTCTCGATAAATAACAATGTAAGAACAGCCCCAACACTTCTGTCTCTTAAGCTCACAGCCCCCATGCCTACTCAGTATCTATTTGTAAATAGACCGACCTTAAACCCGTAGTAGAACACAATCTTTTATGTCTTCTACCCAGCAACAACAGCCATTTTGGGAAAATCTATCACAAGACACCTGCCTCCATCAGTGCAGACAACAGAATGTTGTTTCATCTTCACAAGATCCAAGTTCTGCATTTGCCCAAGAAAACAGTCTCTGTTGAACTCCCGCTTCTTGATTCAGCTTGCCTACATGGTCACTGTCACCACAGCCACTTTCAGCCAGAAAGGACACTGGAAAGGAACCACTTTACTACATGCTTCTCTGCTTCACAGAGAGACTTTCTAGGGTGACTCTGCCTTCTCAGCTGCAGACTCCTTCCATTAGCATCCGTATTCCAAGAAACACTCAGTTTGTGGAGATAATTACACGTCTCTGTCCTAAAGCTTCCACACCTTGTTACCGATGTCCTTTCATTGGGAGAACACGTTTTCTATTTTTCTTTTCCCACATTCTTCCCCCACACTCAGAGCCATACACAATAATGCAGGTCCATCCATCCTACAGTTACAACAGTTATTATCTTCATAACATATGGATAAGAAGGAATTTTAAATAAAGCAAAACTTTGATCACTTTTAGGGATTACTCCCGGCAGATTTATACAAACTGTTCAGTACAATAACTCTTAAAATGTTGGATCTTATACATTTATTCCCCTGGCTAGCACTTGATACAACTGTAAATTCAACATGACTGAAATATAAGTAAAAGAAAGTTACCATACAATGGGGAAAAAAAAAAAAAGTCAGACCACATAAATTTACAACCAGCACTTCAAATACAACTTCACTATTTCCACCTTCCTTAATACTATAACGCGAGCACTTTCCTCCCTGGCAGCCTTCTCAATCACACTGCTGGTACTGTTCTGCAGTTCTCATCCCTCCTCACAGACAGGAATGGTGTTTCAGTTAAAAAAAACTAAGTCAGGAGTTTTAAATAAAAAGATTAAATATCTACAGATTTGAGGGCACACAACAGAGGAAGATGCACCCAAATCGCTGTTTGTTACAGGATTTTACTTTCTGTTCTTCAAAATATTAATTTGATTGCCCTCTCCTGCCAAGCTTGAAACTAAGAACATGAATATGATGTATTTTCTCTCACTGTATTAAGATAAAAGAAAGCTTGAGCTGCTTGAAACAGCATTACAGATTGGATCATTGAGAGGCACTGAAATGCAGCTGTACATTTAAGTTGATGTGCTTTGCCTGTTTTCTCCTGATTTCAGATGTCTGATATTGAACAGGTACTAACAATTATGACAGCTATAATTAAGCATGTTGTTAAACATCACTACAGAACACAAGAGAAACAGAACTGCTTAAGCTATCAGGCTTGTCTCCTTCCATGCTGTAAGACTAAGAAGTATTTAGTAAACATTAAACAGAACTGAAAAAGCAACTTGAAACCACAGTGACTCTTCATCACTCGATATTTCTAAGAGCAAAAGCGTGGCTCCAGGCTATACAGCCACCTATTCAGAATATATGACTAAGCTACAAAGCACTTCCTACACAAAACACTTGACTCCAATTACACAGCAGCGTTACTACAGCACTTCACAACACACTGAATCTCTCATCTGTTACCACAACCAGGTGGTCACACTTGAGAAGGAAGGTGCTTGGGGAAGGAGAGCATCCATGCACCTTAATTAGCTCCCACTGTGACTACACGGTGCTCTGCACCACAAACCTCAGTGATAATTACAGCTTCTGAACTCCACTGTGATATTGTCACCTACAGCAGAACGGCTTAAGAGACAGCTTGGGAAGCAGCAGGTAATACATGCAACCCTACAGAGGTTGGGCACGGGCATCCCCTGCTCTGATCCTGAATCAGGAAAACAACCAAAGCCAATCGAAAGAGCGCCGTTACGTCAGCCCAGGGAAGCCCTGCAGGGATGTGACAGGTACTGCCTCATCTCAGCACTGCCTCACAGTGGACTGGGCATCTTCTAAAGCACAGCTGAGAGAGCTGACTCGCTCAGAACCGAGGCACAACAAGCAGGCCCTGTCCACAGCCATCGGCGCGAGGTCAGCCAAATACAATTCATACATCCTTGAATGCTTGGGAATGTACTCCATGCAAAAAGCAAGAGCAACTTCACAACGAGATGATAAACATCGTAGGAGAGTGCTGGTCTCTCCTCTACCTCCCTGATACACCTCCCCCGCCTTCCTTAAAAAACAATTCATCACTAAAAAGATATGTTCCAATAAATCCATGATGTCATTCAGAGTCTTCTGTGTTTATTTTTTTTATTTGTCCAATTACTGGACTAAAAGAATAGAAATCCTCAAAAATGAGTAGGTCTCAGGTAAGTGCTACCACATTTTTCTCTAATTCCTTTGCTTTCTTTTCTTCCTCCTCTTTATCTATAAACTTTTAAATTGAGATGTCCTTAGTATTTTTAACTGACAATTCCGTAACGTGAGGCTTTAGTACAGTATAAAATACAGAATACACCAAAATCAAATTTACAGTGTTATCCTTCTACATGAAAATTTCACTGTGAAAGTAGGTTTTTGGATCAACATGCAGCCACTTTTATGACTTACTACTTTGATAATTCATTAAGATGAACAAAAGTGACCCATCCCCTACAATCTCATGAACGGCAGTTGATAAAACTAAGGCACACATAACCATCGTAGGCAGTTCAGGAAGCTTGCTTTCAGTGAAAGATACTTGTGTGTTTGTTAAGAGTCACAGTCAAACCATAACTTCAATCATGAAGACAGCAGCAACTTGCTTAGAGCGTACGATCTAAATCGCTGAAGATTTCCACGTGAACCTGACTCGTACAAACACTGTAAACGTGATTTAATATTCATTACTGTACTAAAACTGCGTGCCATCTGACTCCATTTGACCGAAACAGAATCGGTAAGGACATCAAAGAGAGCATTTATAGATAAAGTGGGGCTGGGGGAAGGAAAGCCAGAAAAGAACTGTGGAAAAGAAAAACCCACATACCTGAGACCTACTTAAGTAATTCCTCAGGATCCCCCTTTTCTTTAAAGTTAAGAACCTGTAAAAAAAGTTGGAAATTTTAAAACTTCAGTTCTTTGTATCTGAGCTCTGAATTTGAGATGAAATAGGAATTAAATCGACTTAACTGATTGGGCTGTCTCAAAGGTATTATTACCTTTGAATGTCATTCCTCCCACAAACTCCTAAAGATGAAAAAAATAATGAGAGAAAATTTAGGATAAACAGAACAACAGATTACTGAAAGCTACTCTCCTTTCAGAGACGGTGGCTCCACACTGTCAGCCAAGCTGCATTTGGAGTTTGACATAGGAAAGCATTAAATGACTAGGAGCAGAAGATTAAAAGAAAACACCTAAATCATTTTTTTATGATTTCAGACAAATCAAGCCAAGCATTAAGGCCTGGGGGTTCACATTTACTCCCAGATAAAGAGGGTTTTTCTAATGCTACTGGGGATTTTTCATTTGTTTGTTTTTAAGTGGACTTTTTAATTTGCCTACAGAGGAAGATTCACAGCTATCACAGAACAAAGCCCTTACAGTGCTGGAGGAACATGCAGAGAACCAAGCAGCAACAACAGGTCACACTGAAGATGCAAATGGTCAAACCTTTGTTTTATTAGGGCAGATTTTCAATTACTTGATAACGTTAAACAAAATTAAAACTCAACAGGAGCACAGAAGAACAACTGATCAAGTTTTCAAACACTGAAGATAAAGCTTAATATAACTGCAACAGCATCACAGCTCTCCATGCTCTCGTTATGATTCCTCCCCATTAAAACAGAAGTACAAAATTCCTATCAAAGACAATTGTTTCTGTCACGCATAAAATTGTATTTCTTTCCCACACAGAAATCCCAACTGTCTCAATGGCAGATGCTGACTGACAGCAAATCCCCTGCAGTCCAGTATCTTTCACTGCAAATATCAGCACCTCTAGAAACAAATCCAAATGTGCTTTGCACTCAAATTCAAAAAAGTGAGCGCTTTCCTTTTGCACTCACACCAAACCTTCACATCCTAACTCTGATGAAAGCACAAATTCAGTAAATGAGGATTGCAAGTTACCCCACAGCAGAGTTGAGCTTCTGAAACACCAATCTGTTCAAAAACACCATACCATGCATTTTAAGCAATTTTTTAAAATGGATACGAAGCCCAAGGGATGTCAAAGTCAGTTCTGATCTTCATGCAACACGCAACACAATTTGCAAAGCAGAGTAAAATGGCTCTGATTTTAATTTTGAAGAGCTCTCCATAGCAGAACTCTGATGGCAGAAGTTGGGATTTTCCAGTCCAAAATCCTCCCATCAAGGCCAAGGAAAACCTGATGTCATTCTATCATCTCAAGACACCAGAAATTCCTCAAGATTAACCCCAGAATCATCCCAGACACAGGAGATACTTTTTTATCAGAATTTTTTTTAAACCCCAGGAGTCAAACCATGAGTAATAGCACCTCTCCTCCAAATACAGCCCTGTATCACAACACCAGCACCTTTTTTCAAGGGGCCAAGTTTTCAAAGCACAGAGCTGTTCAGAAGAAGACCCATCTTTCCACACAGGGAGAGTTATTCCTTTGTGAATGACAAAGTGAAAAGTGTACCACAGAACAGACTCCAGAGGCAAGGCTCATGTCCAAAAGCAAAGATGGAAGATGAGAAAGCATTTATTCTTTGGTAAGGAAATCTCTACCTCCATGACGCATGGTTTTACATTACTATGTCAAATTTAAAGCAAAATTCCAAACCCTTCAACCCACTGCACAGAATTTAAAATCCAGGAAGTTTATCTTCTTGCAACTGAGTGCATGTTATACTTTTTCTAGTGCAAACAGTGACCACTGTTACAACAACTGAAGACCCAACAGCCAAGAGTTGAGATGAGACAAGACATTCGTTTCTGCAAGTAAAGTTTTGCCACACAGAGCCCTCCAGACCCAATGAATAAACACTGAAGCCTCAATTAAGGATGCGATACACCTTTAAATAGAAAGTCAGTTAACAACAGAGCCATCTACACGAAGCACTAACAGTACCTCTGAACGGTGCCCTACACTTCCATTCTCAGATCCAGAATGCTGCTCGTTTCCTTCATCTTCAACGTCAGATCCCGAATCTCTTTCATCTTGCACCGGAGTAGCTCCACCATCATCTGCCCACAAGAAAAACAAGGGAAAACCCGGTGACATTTCCTAACGCGTACCGGGAACTGAAGGCTCCGGGGGGCCCAGCAGCCGGGCCGGGACACAGCCGTGAGGTCACGTAGGGACACAGCCCGCACAGACTGCCTGGGGCACAGGGAGACACAACCCCCTCGTCCGTCCGTCCGTCCGTCCGTCCGTCCCTCCCTCCCTCCGGGCCCTAGCGTCCGTCCCGCGCCGCTACCTGACTGGCCCCCGCTGTAGTACTCGCTCTCCATGGCAGGCCGCCGGCCCCGCGAGACCCGGGGGCTGGCGGCGGGGCGAAGCCCTCAGCGCGGCGCTCAGCGCTGAGACCCGCCGCCTACGACCGCCGCCGCCGCCGCCGCCGCCGCCCGGCTGCACAGGCCCAAAATGGCGCCTCCCCTCAGAACAGCCACCGGTCGCCCACGCGCACGCGCGAGTAGCACCCGCCCCTTTCTCCTCGCGCCCCGGCCCGGTAGCTCTCGCGATAGTTCGGGAGTGCCGCCAGGGAGCGGTGCAGACGTTGGGGCGGGCGGGCGCTGTGGGAGGGGCGTGGGATTCGGATGTGCCGTTGGAGCTGGTGGGAACTGAACACCGATTTCTATGGTGGCAAACTGGCAATGGATGATTATTCGCTGCTTTATGCAGCCTGGGGATCCCCCTGCCAGTGGGCAGGGCAGATCGCGCCCCAAGCAATCCCAATGCTACAGGACAGGAAAAGGAACTTCTTGTTGGTGTGTTCTTCTGAGACCTGTTGTAATTCAGTGACTCAAGTTGCGAGGAAACTGAAGAAGCCTGTGAGGAAAATAATAATAATAATAATAATAATAATAATAATAATAATAATAATAATAATAATAATAATAATAAAAAACTGAGCCCTTGCATCAATGAGAACTGTAAAGAAATGTGAAATGATTATTTTAATAACGGTGATTCCATGTATGAGCAGTGCGAGAGCTTCCAAGAGCCTGAAAATAGGGATCCAAAATGTTAGATGACTGCCTACACACCCAGAATGGACTTGGAACCCCAGGTGTCCCTTCTGCCCATCACATACGTGCTGGGAGCCCCCCAGCTTCATCCGTTGCCTTCAGTAATAAAGAATGTACCACCTAGGAAATGGATGAATCTGTTTGCTCCCTGCAAATGAAGATAGCAAGAAGCAACGTGAATCTCTTTGAGATGGCAGGAGGAGGAAGCCCCCAAGGAAGCAGGCCAGCAGAAGGAACGAGAAGTGGTTGTCTTGATGGAGTTAGGTCTGACCGCCCCATCTGAAGCTGTGGTCCAACACAGTTCATGCATGGGTGGTGCCTCCACATTTAGCCTTCAGCATCAACTGGAAGTTCGCCTCAAATGCCTCTGAATTGCTGACTTCCAGAGTAAACGGGCAGATAGATCCATCAGGAATTGCTGGATTCTGTTTTAGTGGCCTCTGTACTCAGAGCAGGTGCATAATTCAGTTATTTGGCATGCCAGAGTTTGAGGATTACAAGCTATGACTTCTGTCATCGATAAAGCGTTTTAAAATGGAAAGCCTAATAAATCCATGTGGTGCTCATCTTCTTTTCTCGTTCTGTGCCAAATATCTTCATTCTCTCAGAGTGTGACAAAGAGAAAACATCTGTGTAATTTGAGATATTTCTAATAACAGTGATTTTTATAATCTGACGTTCCTTTCTTGTTCAGGGACATTACAGTTCAATAAGCCGAGATCTCTGGTCTGACGTGTAAATGAGTCATCATTTCTTCTGTGCTAGAAGCACTTCAGAGTGGATGGCAGAGAAGTTAAGCCTGTCTTAACACATACACCCCAACAGCAAAGACAATACAATGCATGAAGTTCATTCTACCATGCTAAATACAGCTAAACTGTCTGACCTAAGGCACTGCTCAAAGAGGCAGAATCTTCTGTTTCACTTAGAAGGAGAAATTAGCAGTGGAATAAAATATTTCTTTGATGCAATCCTATATTAGCAAAAATGCAAAAATCCTTCTCCCTTTTTTTTTCCCCCTGAAAATCTGTGTACATGAAGCATAAAGAGAAGGTCTCTTCCTCACTGCTCTTTTCCAGATAGTCTCAAAGGTCTTTTAACTCTCCTCAGAATTGTGTTCTTGATTGTATTATGCCTTTTTTTCCTTCTCTGATGTGACTCTTACTGCTTTTAGCTCTTTGCTCTGTGTAGTTTCACTGAGATCTTTTCTAGGAGGAGGCATATGTGCCTGTGTCTGATGGGAGGCTCCTACTGTTTCACTGATCTGACTTCCATAAAGAAATTAAATAGAAGGCGGTATGATGACTTTAATCCAACTCATAACAATACAATCAATGAAGGTCTCTGCAGACAAAGCACTAAAGTAGGAAATAAAATGTAAACTAATAGAAAATAAGGAGAAACATAAATAGAAATTAACAAAAAAAAAGAGATTGAATGTGCACTGATGTGCTAGGAAATGGTACCAAAGTGCCTAGGAAACATGGAAGCACACCAGGTAAAGCAGGATCAGAGTACGAGGGTAACCAACCCTGAAAATTAGATATTTATGAATATGTCATGTTCTGCAGTGATGTCAAGCCATTGTCCCAAATTCCAGCTGCAAAGAGGCTGCAGTGATGAGAAAATAAATAATTTCTGCATTTGTTGAAAGTGAGCAGGCTTTCCTTCCTAAATGTGATGAATTTCCCATCTCTCAGAAAGGAAAGCTAACCACAAGCATGGTGCTGTGACATCCCCACATGCACCGCTGTATCAAGCAACCTCCTTATCTCCATAACAGTGAATAACTCGACGTCAGTTTTGACAGCAGGTCTGCAGCCAACGTGTGTGTGTGTGCTCTAGCATGCAAGCTTGCATGTGCTTGTCTTTGTCCTTGGTGAGCCAGAACTTGGCACTCACTGACCTGTAACGTATTCCTTTAATACCTTCTTGGCTGCATCCCAAAAGGAAGGATGGAGTGACACTCAGACCATAATGGGATTGCACAGTGCAGGAGAGTGACCTGTCTTCTAGCAAGCAGAGTAAGCAGCACACACTTGGCGAGCGTGGAGGTGTGTAATGACACAGATCCAAGTGCCTCACCAGTTTGCCTCAGTCCAGCATCATGAACTGCCTGGAATGAAATAAGCCTTTCCCCGAAGGACAGAATGCTCAAGACAATCAAGGGATGCACTTGAAAAATCCTCTTCTGGTATGTATTTCTTTAGTTTGCTTTGTTCTCCGCAGTGTGCCCTTCAGAGTTAACAGACATCAGTGACTTAAAGCTACAAATCTGCTTACAAGAAGGCGGTTACTATAGACAGGAGAGCTTCCAAATGAACTGTTTAACCTGGAAACTGTTATATCCAATCCCCCCACAAACGGCATAAAAAGAACTAGTTTAACATAATATTATGCTTGGCATGTAGGACTGGGTGATGTGGGAATGATGAGGCTGCTTTGATTTGTCTGCAGGGGAAATGTGAGAGGAAGTACCATGTGCAAATTAAACCCTTTGATCTTGGCATCAATCTCTTAATTAGGAAGCTGTCAGGAAGATGCAGTTCTGTTAATACGTCTGTCTGGGTAGACCTATTGTTCTGCACAACAGCAGAATTAATTTCACTAGGGATTATCCGATTTTAATTAATGCATTTCTCACTGCATTATTTATGAGCATGCTACAAATTACTCCAGTGCCTCTGCTACACCTAGCTACAGCTACAAATGGGCCTGTGCCTCGCAGGGCCACTTACCAAACTGTCTTCAGCAGTAAACAGAGTTGCTCACCCCTGGCAAATTCCTGATCCCTGCTACCTCCTGATAACTGTGACTCAAACCTGAGCTCCAGCACTTCTGCTGGAGAAGCCTGCAGCGAGCTGCCTGCCCAGCTCTCACATGCTTTATGAAGAACCTAGGCTGCTTCTGCTTGCGAGATCAAGTTGCCGCTCCTTCAGCATTTGTTTGTGCCACTTGAGTACGTCTAGACTTAACTGTGGAAATCCATCTCCCTTCTACTCAGTATTCCAGTGATGACAACATGAGTTGTGCTTCCCGTCAGGCCTGCTTGAGTTCCTCGTGTTCCCATCTCATACATGTTTACACATTCTGCTAGTACAGGAATACTTTGGTTATCTCTGAAGTAGAGAGCACTGCCATTGTGCCTTGGTCACAAGCATTGAAAACGTTCTATTTTAGAACATGATTCTCTGCCCCAAAACAAGCTGTATTTGAAATTTCAGCAAGTATGCTTCATTTGTTGAAGAATCGTATCTGGCATGTTTGTCTGTTTGTTTGTTTTCCTGCAGTCTAATTGCACAAGAAGCTTTTTTTTAGACATCTGCCTTGGCAGTCCAAAGGTACTTACTTTGATTTTCTGGTATTTGACCTACATCTAAAAATTCAGTGCTTCTTGAAGAGATTTTGTTGCTCACACAGAGCACGTACACTTCTAAAATAAAAGCCTGCTGAAGAACTGTCTTGAGACAAAATCCTTAAAAATGACTTGCACAGCTAAGGAACGCTCTGCTTTGTAGCTTCCTGCCTCTCTCTGAAAGCCTCTGAGCCCTAAGAGCCTACACTTTATTTGTGCTATAAAACTTAAATAATCTGAGGTTTTTTTGCTTAAGTTTTATAGCAGAAATAGAGGAGGCTAACGTTAAAATACTAATATGTAGCGTGGACATGCAACTTGTAACACAAATTACTCCCAGTTCTTTATCACTGTGCATGAATTCTGACCTCTGAATGCAGAACTACATGTGGAACTACAGCAGGAATCCCAAGGCATGGAGGCTTCTTCTTATCTTTCCTATTACACGTTGTAGCTAATTAAACCTAGGAAGCGAGAAAATAAGCACTAAGTATACCAGCCTATAGTCACAGTTGCTGCACATTCTAAATTTGATTTAAAAGTCATCTGCATTAGTGCATAGTGAGGCAAACCATTGCTGTGCGCAGAGTTTGAGGGAAAGCTATACAATTAGTTTAAGGGATCTGTAAAAAAACATCCCCAGTGCTTGGGCTTGCAGTTCAAGGATCAGGGGCAGAGAGTTACTGACAGTATGTTTGGAGCAACTAGAAAGCAGGGAACTCAGAGCTGTCCTGTCCTCACTTGGAAAGAAAGAAGTGGAGTTGACTTATGGAAAGTTAACTTGCACTGTGCTGGAACACAGGGACAGAGTGTTTGGTGGGCAATCAACTAATGAGAACAAAACCAGCATGACTTAAACAGGCCATAAATCACATTCCCTTTAGAAGGGTGTGTGACCACTGGTATTTCAATTAAGTTCCACGAGCTCTTTTCACCTTCAGCTGCAGGTACTGTGAAACACAAT